ACAAATTACAGCAGACAAAAAGGAAAGTTCCCCTGAAATGGCTCCAGGTTGAAGACAGAGTGTATAATATGGCAAAGAAAGGCACAAAGTACACAAAACGGGAACAGTTAAGGCTGAAAATAGTTGACGAAGTCGGCCCGTTGGAAAAGGAAGACGACTACGAACACCTCTTGAACTTCCTTCATGATCGCGGCACTATTGTGTACCATGTCCAGGCCGAGGATCCCAGTGGGTTGATCGTGCTGGATCCACGATGGTTAATTGAGGTGCTCTGTAAAATAATATCTGTTAAAACCCACGAAGATGAAGAACTGTCCCTTTTTTCGCTCTGCCAAGATCTAAAAGGTAAAGGTATTCTTCATGGAGAGCTTCTCGATCATGCGTTAAGCGCCCAGAAACTCTCTCACATCAGAGAATCCTTGTTATTTACAATGGAAAAGTTTAATCTCCTTTGTAGATTCAACGACAAGGATGGCAAGCCTGCCTTCTTGGTGCCATGCATGCTGACAATAACGCCAGAAGAAGATCTGATTTGTACAGAAGATGAAGCATATGCTCCTGCGTACATCACATTTAACACTGATTATGTTCCCGCTGGGCTCTTCTGTAGAATTCTTGTTCTCCTTGGTAAGTGGGCTGCATCAAAAACCAGTTGTGACCAGCAACAGTTCTTTTCCAATGCTGCCCGATTTATTATTGGAGATTTGACCTGCCTAGGACTCGTCTGCCACAAAAGTGTCATAAAGGTCCACATTTGGTCAATGGACTCTTCCAACCCGATAAAGATGAATACGACACTCTGCGAGGAAGCCTTCAGGTAAACATGAAATAGAACTCCGAGCTAAACACAGCCGATTCTTTTACTTTGCGATCGAAGGGGATCTATAGGAGTCGGGCGTGGAAGATCTTTGCCTTAGTTAATTCTGTGCAAAAGAAAATTTACCATCAACAACCTGGAAAGTCTAAATTTTTGTTCATTTCGTCTCTAACCTAGGCTACATGTTTACTGCTTTTTGTTTTCGTCGGCGACAACTTGTTACGTAAACAGAAAGCTGTGTTCACTCGAAGAGTTTATAACTAGCCCAAATGACAGGGTAGGCCCTTCTAACTTTCGATAACTTAAGAAAGGCAGAATTCTCCATTTTTGGGACTGCCACAGACGTCTATTCCATACAAACTTTTATAAAACCGGTAATTTGTGTCTTATAGTGTTCTCTTCTTGAAACATATTCTAATTTAAACGATAAATTGAGGGACTAATTAAATTATGTATTTTCATTTGTATTCATACATGCACGTATATATTCGATATTCGAGGGGATGAAGTGCTATCTTGTCCAGGGTGATTACAAACATGTCATTTATAACAGGCGGCTTTCGTTTACAGTTCTCTTAAAAGGACTCTGACGTTTCTGAAAAAGGAGTGTTACTGGATGCGTGCTGTTTCCTGGAAGTTCTCTGGTAAATGCAACCTGTGTCTGGGAAAAGTAGATCCCAAGACTAAAAATTGCTCTCGGCATGACAAAAAAGGATGTGACAGTGATGACTGTGCCCACTATGTTGCCATAAATTCTCGCCCATTCTGCTGTGAAAATGCTAAAGTTCTTGATCAGCGCCTTCAGCGGACTTGGATACAGGTCAGTGCCAAAATACCCCTTCTTACGGTTCCATTTCAGAACTGTTAAGCCAACCTGTAGAGCGTACGGTTATGTAACGAACAAATACCTTTACTTTATCTTTACCTGGTTGAATTTTTCTTTAACTTTAAGGCGATATTTCAATAACTTAATTCATACCTTGACCAACAAGTTGGTGCTAAAATGATCCCTTTTACCGTCGAGAATATAATAACTTCCAGCCATTTTCAAAAGAGCAAAAAAATGGTTCTGCATATTAAATAAACGTAATTATTTTAAAGCAGAACGGATCAAGTGAAAATTTGTGTGGCTAACAATCAGCTATCAAAGCTTGAAATTACGCTCAGGAAGCGAGGCCTACAGATATTACCGGCACCAGTCGGTAGCACACCAAACTACAAGGGTTAGAAGCCTCTGTAAGCAAGTCAAAAACAAAATCCAAATATTATATGAAACCATGGCAGGAAAGCTACAAATATGATTTTTTTCGACGAAGCACTTTGGTCAGATATTATACTGATAAATAGGAATGCAAATTAATTCCTTCGGTTTACAGTGAAGACCGTTCAATGAAGCGTTTTAACAGATAATGTGAAACTCCATATCGATTCACGGAAATGCTCTCTAACATTCATATTCTAAACTTATTAATGCTACTATAGCACAGAATGGTGATGGTTACGAAATGTTCTGTCTCAGGCATTGCCATCCAAGGAAGCGAACAGCGTATCCACCACCCACATTAACATGGGTAAGTCAGTTTATACTCTGAATCACAAATAGTTCAAAAAATCTTAGTGCTAGTACTTACACATTTTTAGAACACAACTTTAAATTGTGCTTATCAACCATGCCATACGCCTTCCTTAGCCGATGCTTTTATAGGACTCTAAACATCCGGGTAGGTGACGAAAGCAGGTCATTAGTAAATTCTTATTTGGAAATACAGTTCTGTTCACTAACACTAAAAGCGAAACTTCTCCACTTTTAGATGTTTGAAGATAAATCATTATCCTACTAAGACTATTGAAAAAGTTGGAAACATGCAATTGATCTGAAAGGTCGCACCCTGAGGTTTAAATTTTTTTGCACGATAAAAGTGAAAGAGCTCGACCAAATAGCCTCAAACTGCTGGTAACAACGCGGAAGGTTTTAGTACTTCGCTTCAAAGAACTGATAGCAGTGAATCGGAAGAGGGGAAAATTTAATTCGAGTACTTTCTTGAGGCCTCATTTACGAGGGAACCAGAACCGCTCAGTGAGTAATGAACATAGCTTCGTGATTTTGGTAATTTGAGGTTCGTGGCGATTCCATTTTTGCCAAATTTACTGTTTATAGCACTTGCTGTTGAGTTTGACGAGGTCCTAGTGAGTTTCAATTCAAGCAGAGGAGGTTTAAACAAGGAAAAAATTTATCTTGATTAAAATGTACAGTATAAAGGAGATTAACATTTCTACAAGGCTCGGTTGTTCTTGGCTTTCCATTTCGCTGCTTTTCAACCATCACAATGTAGAAAATTGAGAATTTGTTAAAGTTAGAATGTTATCTTCACAAGGTAAAAAAAGCTTTTTATTTGTTAAATCTCTGTAACTAACGTCTATTTCAGTTAAAAAGTCCCAAAAAGGCAAAGATCTTTTCGCCAGCCCTAGGCCTTTAATCTTTCCATACGTGTTGGTTCATTAGCACTATTACAGAGGGAGACAGAGTGTCTGACTATAACGCTCGTGTTTTCCTCGGACAAATTGCATTACTCTTCAGCATAAAATTCTAACTGTTGTCGTCATTTTGCGTTCGGCTGATTTTCTTCAGTTTCTCCATAGTTCCTGCTCGGATCAGCTTGAAATCATTTCATTTATTAAGTCAGTTACTGTCGTTCAACATTTGTTCATTTCCTTTGGGCGCATTTCTTTCGGCAATTTGATCAGATCACAAAAAGAGATCGATATTGTAGCCATAGGGCCCCCTCTTCCTACATCTAATATTCCGCGTGGCCTTTCACGATATAAAACCCATATTTGATCTATTGCTTCATTAGGAAAGAGCCCGCCCATACTGTATAAGTGTTATCAGATGAGTATAGCCATATCCCACGATCTTACCAGGATTTAATTTACAATTGCAAAAAAAAGTTGGGTGGCAGCGAGTAGAGTTTTAAACGAGTCTAGACCAAGCAGTGTGTTGTTTGTTGCTAAGACCTGTCGAGCGAGTTCTGGGATTTAGAGTTGTAAACTATGATATCAGAACTGCTTTGAAATAATAAGCAGT